TTTTATTCTCGACTGTCTATATACCATCCAATTATCAGCCTTTCTGGCTATCTTGTTCACTCAGCTAGGCAAAAGTTTATAATTCATTTTACTTGAACTCTCTAATCTTTCTCTAAAATGAAAAGAAAAAATATATTTTAGTGACTTCAGTGACATAAAATATCAGCCAATGGTTCCCAAGGTTTCACTGAAACATTCTGCCGACATAAGAGCCAATGAATGAAGACTTGTGGAGCCACTGACCATAACCCTACCCCTAATCTGGAGACCACCATCTCTTCTTAATAGACCAGTGAAACCTTGCTTGACTGCTGTACAATTAGTACAGCTGTATTGATTAAACCATCTAGAAAGAAGAGTAGGTAATACAGGCAATAGGGACATGTGAAGTATACCATCAGAGAATGCAGATGACTTACATATAAGCCAGATGTACATATATCTATTTTAGTGACTTTAATGACCTAAAAGAATAGCCAATGGTTCCCAGGGTATCCCCAAAACATTCTGCCAACATAAGAGGAACCAATACTGAGGAGAGAATGCTACCATCAACTGGCCCCATTATCTACTCCAACAGTATTGATAGCCACCTTTTCAGTACCATCATCCATCACACTACTGAGGGAGACAAATGGAGCGTCCATATCTTGTCACCTCACCAAAGGAAAACACCACCTTCCCATCCAGAGTTTCTCACAAGGACATCCACCAGCATCATAGCCCAATACACCTTCAAGCAGACCATCAAATTCAAGCACTACCACTGCCAGACCTAGATAGTTAAGTGAATAGAGGCCTGGAACCTATACCAGCAGGAAGAAAAAAAAAAGTCAGGCAGAGTATGACAAGTCCAGGATGGTATGAGAACTTTGCCATGTCCATGTCAATTTGTTAAAACCAAAGTATCATTTACCAGATAACAAAAAAAAATCAATGTTTTTCTTAGTTGGCAACCCAACTAAACATTTAACGATACTAAATGTATTACTTATGAAAAATATTTATTTCATAATTTTGTATTTTTAGGTTGAAGTGTAGTAACTGAAAAAAACCACAATAAACGGAACAAACTGTCAGAAGTCCGATACAAGAAAAACTAGTTTCGATACATTTGTGCATCCTCTTCAGTCTCACGTTGCCTTCTGGCAGGAAAATAATGGACAACAAACGCCTACATGACCCCTGATCTTGGGATTCCCTTAAGGACAAAGGAGGTAAGAAAGTTGTTTAAAGTAACCTCGGAAAATGTTGAAATTAGGCAAGCATCTGACTAACCAACTTTCGATAATTCTTCTTTTCACGTAGTTATCTGTTTCATATAAAATTCTTGTTGATTTCCAATCAATTTGATGGCCAGAATATCTCAAATGAAGAAAAATGGCATTATTTTGGTTTTCATTTTTTATGTTCAGAAACTCTTGTGTCAGCACTTCTTCCAGTTTTACCTACACAACCTTTCCCACAGAATTGGCAGAGTATAATAGTAATGCCTTGTTATTTATTTTCAGGTGTTTTTCTGTTTCAAGTTAGATTACTTTTAATGGTGTTCGGATATTTGTATATGATTCTAGTTATTCTTTCTTAATATTTTTTCAAGGGGTTCAATGTTAGTGTTGTAGCCAAAATAAAGTGTTTTCACACTATCATTGGTTGATCTTTATCTTCATGGAACAAGGTTTTTCTTGCTTTGAGATGGCAATTTCTAATGAAAAGTTGTGGAAAATATATTTCTTTGAAAATAGAAAAGATGTTTTTTATTTCATGTTCAAACGTTGTCGGGTGGCATATTCTATATGCTATAAGAAAAAATCAAGAAATAATAGATGTTTTGACCTGTTTATGGTGACACAAAAGGAACATAACTTAAAGAATTTGTTAGCTTACGGTATACTGAGAGGACCGGTTCTGTGTTTTTCTGGTTATCAAAACATCCAACAAAGGAAGTTGGTTCTCCATTTCCCATTTAACTTTAAATTTGATAGTTGGGCAAAGTTGATTAAGGTTGTTGAACATAATTTCAAATTAAATTCTTTTGTTTGGCCACAGAAAATATATCATGAACATATTGGAACCACGGAATTTTTGAAAGGTTTATATTTATGGAAGGAGCTAATTCAGTATCAAAATATTCCATGAAAAGGTTGCACAGTATTGGAGACAATGGATTTCCCATGGCCATTTCGTATATCTTAAGCTTTATTTACCAACATACCAGTTGAAGAAACCATACAATTTCTTAAAAGAAAGTTACCTGAACTGAATATAAACTAGTTTCTTTGATATCAACTTACACTTTGTTCTGTTTACTGTGGTTTTTTTCACTAATTGCTACACAAGATAGTGTTCTTTTATTAAGTGTAGTTCTTAACACATTAACTGCTGCAATGCTTGGCATCATCCATGGTGGTAATTTTTAGTGCAATATTTTTGTGTTTTCAACTTAAACAATAGCAATAATAACAAATCTAAAATACGTAATCTTTATACAATGTATTATTACACACAAAGGTAAACAAATGCTAAACATTCACATGTGCATCCTCAGCAGTAAACGTGTTAAGCTGTAAAACTGATTCATGAAAATGCACTTGTATTTATGAGATATATAAAAAACATTTTTTCTTTGACATATGAATGAACACTGCTTCTTCATATTATCATTTTTGGAATTAAACATTTGTTTTCTTATAAAAAGGGAAAGCTAAATAATAGAATGATAATGAACAAATGAAAAAAGGAGAATTCCAGCACCCAACATTTGCTACAGTCAGAACAGGTGGACTTGAGAACCTGTGAGATGTTTCAGACATTTTTTAAGAAATTAAAATATTATTCAACATTTGAAATGTTCATCAAAGCATCCTAATAGAAAAGTACTTAAAAAAAACAACAGAATATTCAATAGAACAAGAATTTTCTGGAAACCATTTCACTGATGTTTCAGTGTGTATGACATCCTTGCTTAAAGCCTTGATGAAGGTATATTGCTAAATATATACAGGTTTTACCATTTGTTTTTATACTTATTTCTGTACAATGAATAGTTACTTAAGTTAAAATGAAGGAATTCAGCATGTCTTAATACTGACAAAAGAATGTTTAAAAAACAATTGTATATGGTAACTTAAATGTACTGTTCAATAATCTTAAACTTGAATATTTGCCAGAAATTTAGTTTCAGTATAATTAAACTTATGAGACTTTAGAAGAGGTAAAGTACTGTCTATGAAATTAAGGTCAGGAATCAATAGGCCTAAAATTTGTAGAAAAATCATATAAACTACACATTTTTTTCCACTTGCTTCTTAATTTGTCCACTTTTGGATTCAAAATAAGAGGTGTGTAAAAACATCATTTCTGGTCTATCTTTGGTTTTACACAATTCACTGACCAAGAAGCATTTCATTAAATACAACTGGCAAGTTTGGCTGGACAATAAGACAAAAGATTCTCTGAAACATGTATAAATGCAGTATAATACTTTAAAAGACTTCTTTTAAATACCAAAAGCTGGCAAAGCATTAGAAACAAATACGATTAAAACTTGATAAAAATACCAAACTGCAATATTACTCAACAAGGTTGATTGACATAATACATGCACTTAACCTTTATTAAATTCTCAAAAGGTTACTAACCTGTGGAATATCCGGAGTTGTTTCCTTAACTTATGGAATCTTCACAATGACATATTTCAGTATACAGACAAAAACAGTTCAGTAACTACCATGGAAAAAAAGGTAAATGAAAGATCAGAAATAACTTCTTCCTGTATAGCATCAAGAAGGTACTGCCCTCAGTTAGAAAGGTAGATGAAATTCTGTTTTTAAAACAGCATATTATCATCTTCCCAGGGTTTTAATCTAGCTATAGCACATTACACATAATTGCTGTAAAGCTTCAGTAGTAAACTCAATGTATATGGTGGTTGTGTTAAAACTTAACTCTTTTAAGTCTTTTTTCATGTATTATATTAAATTGGTCTTTAAAATTGAAAGAAATTTCAAACTTTCCAATCAGTTTGATGTTAAGTCAATGATTTGCAAAATTCAAACATGTATGTACAGAAAGAGAGACAGAAATAAAACTATCAAACAATATTCACAACTTGGATTTTTATGTGTGTATATATATATATATTTCTTTATTTTGGCTCGGAAAAACTTTACAAATCTCTTGGCATTCATTTCTTAACAATAATCAATCTGGTAACACATTGCAACAATTTGCAACTTACCTCTGCCCAATGGTTAGAGCAGTCATCATCATCACAAAATACTTAATTTCAAAAATTGTGATTTATCTAAACTGTTCTATTACCTATGCTTGACTTAGGTCTGTATGACTTGTGCCACTCTCTAAATTTATACCAAAGCCTCCATAAACTAAAATGCTAACATTTCTAAGCCAGAAAGAAAGAGAGAGAGAGAGAAAAAAAAAGGTGCTGGTAATGTTAAGCTTAGGGTCTTTAATGGTGATAACTCAGTTCAATATCATAACATCTGTAGCTACAAAACTTGTGATCAAACATCATTTTGAAACATTTTACCAGAAACTTATGAAGCTTTTTAATAAAAATAGAGCTCAACCAAAATTACAGAAATCATCATTACAATATATATTACAATCACAAACAAAAATAGATTAGGAACAAACTATTAAGTTATTAAAAATATTACCTGAATAACATAGTATTAAACATGCAAGTATGAAAATATTTCTAATACTAACCTAACAGTGTGTTTAATAAACCAAAAAACAAAATATTTTACCATTATGAAAGTAACAAACAGAACAAAAAACTAGGTTTTGAAATAATATTCAGAACCTAAAAAATTATCCTGCAATTAGCATTAAACAAATACACAAATATTTAAATTTTCTACCTCAAATAAACAATTCTGAGAATTAAAAAAAAGCTCAAGACTCAACCCATTAAATTATAAATATGTAGCTTCAAGCAGCTTACTTAATTTAAGGCAGATCTAACATATATTTCCTTATAGCATTTTACATATTCAAAACTTCCAGAAACAGATATACCTTTTATCACATACATTGAAATTCCAATTAGTAAAAAAAGTTCCTGGTATTACAAAAATCAACAATGATTCTAATATTTGTTATCCAAAAATTAGTAGCTCATTTACAAAAGGTCTCTTCCTTTAATAAATTGTATTTATGTAGTAACAATTCTTTATTATGGTTGCCTCACTTTGATTTCAAAAGAAGTTTAAGGACAGAAAAGATACAAGACACTCAGTACTGCTCTTGAAGAAAGAAAGCCCTATCCAGTTTTAAATGGGTATCTTTAATTCACAAATTTTCAAACTCGTCCACTCTTCGCTTTGTGTTCCCCTTCCGAATTTCACGTAGGGTTTTGTATTTATCTCTCCCTTGTCGTACATTTTCTTGGTGGAGAAGATCATTTCTAGTCAGTTTTGTTTCATCCTTTGATGCAGCTAGTTCTCTGTTTAATTCCTATTCAAAAAAAGTATACTTAAAATATTTTATAATATTAAAGTTATCAAACAATTCAATCTCTTTTTTATAAATACAAAATGCCATTAATTATTCTGAAAGTATGGTTGTAACTACCACAAAGCTGAGGTTATAGTTTACAGGAAGAAAACTGTGCGTGTGTGTGTCAATAATTAGTTTACAATAATTCCAACATCTAATTATAATGAGATCACACAATTGAATATTGTGATACAATCACTAATTGAGCAATTTCTAGAATACAGAACTAATTAAATTAACTGCAACAACTTTGGAATTATTAAACACACCTTTAACTGGTCTTGCAAGTGTTTCTCCTTGGACACCTGAGTCATTCTGTCTTCCTCAGGATGAGATAAGTTAATGTTGTCATCAATATACAGTTCAGCACCTAGTAAACAAATCTCAAACTTTATGATTCAACCTACTAATCCATTTCACTGTATTCACTGTTTTCCTAATTACATCAATACAAATAATCTAAAATATTTTCAAAATATGCCCAATTAAAAAAAAAACATAGCTACTGTTAAACTTAGATACAGCTCTTGTCATACAAACTAAAGAACAAGAATTGTTTGTTTAATATTTAGTGAATCAATTTTCATATTGATCAACGTTCCTTTACTTACTCTCTTTTAAAAGGTTTGATTCTAGCATTCTTTTACAATCACGTCATGTGCAATATGTTGATATTTTGAAGACAAATACAGCTACAAAAAATATCTCCCAACAAACACCACATACACATAACTATCATTTTAGCACTGTTTCTAGATGTATCTCATATGCAAACACTTGCCTGTTTACAGACCATAAACAGTTTTCTCATGAAACACGAGAAAAAAGTTAAGTATAATGTTGGTATTTAAATATGAAGATAACTTAATAGTTTATTGATAGTAAAAGTTAATGTTCTCCAAAATTATGAAAGAAAAGATACCTAGTTACTGGCTAACTTAAAAATAATAATTACATGGCTTTAGATGATTTGTTTTTAATATGGATACCCTACTTTATTCTGATAAGTTTCTTCAAGTAATTAGTTCTCTTGCTACAGGCTCTTCACCGAGTTCATGACACCAAATGTCTTTATAGTTTCCATACCATAACTTTGAATATGTTTTGTGTACCTTAATGAAATTTCGCAAGCTTTCAGTAATCATTAAAAATCAGAATTTCTAATGAAGTATATTCCTTAAAAATTTCTCCATAAATATTGGGAGTCAAAGTATTGACTACCCCGAGTGCAAAGTGATTTTCATGCTAAGATTAAAAATACTTTTCTTCCCTTGTAAAATCTCAGATGTCCTTTGTGTAATCTCTAAAACCTCATAAATAAATTTCAAACGTTTTTTTTGCAGTAAGACTTTATATTTTCTTTGTTTATACTTCACTTTTATTTTCTTATTGCCCTTTGAATGGTTACTGACACTCCTGCCATTAAATCACTAGGGGAACACACAGCTCACGTTACCCTATCAAATTACATAAAACACAAGCCACTCAAAAGTTGCTCAAGAGTGTAACTTGTGGAAAATTTTTATTGTTATTTATTTTACCTAATCTAAACTAAAGAGTTTCTTATTTTTACATTTTAGTTACTTTTATAATAATAAATAAAGAATACACATGAAAAACAAGAAATACAGTAATTACCTGGGTCTTCTTTTTTTTTTGCTGTGAACTGTCAATGATACTTAACCCTACTTTTTATGTACTAATAGTACTACTACTCCACTAAATACTTTTATTTAATTAAATAATGCACAAAAAAATGACATGCAAAATGCAGACAATGTCCCACAACTATTCCAATTTTAATTGGCTTTTTAACTATTTGACAAAAGCCATTAAAAATTCAGCTAATCTCACCGATATGTTTTCATTAAGGAATAATATTTGAACTGGAAGCAAAATAGACAATTCTCTATATAGAAAACAATGTAATATAATACATCATTGGATAAATTAAAACCTTGGCTTTCTATTGGTTATAAATAATATAGTATTAAATGTCAGAAAGAAGTATTGGCAATTTCTGAAAGAGGATGTGACAAGTGGGTGTGGAAAGAGGGGTCTCATTTTATACTTTATGGCTTTGCAACTAAATAACATTAAAGGCTATAAAAATTATGTCTTGTCTGAGTGTGACAACATTATATTGGATAATTTACATTAAATTTCATACTTCTTGGAGGGGTGGTAAATAAATTAGAGAAGAGGGGATGCCTAGAGAGAAAATGTCACAATTCTCATACTAGGGGAAATTCGGGATTTTTTCAAGTATTGCCATATAAAATTAAAAACTTAAAACTTGTATACTATTATAAGTCGGATTATTAGATACATTTTTATTCCAAATTTATTCATATACCATGATAAGAAAGTAACTGAATTTTGAATGTAACTCATGCAGAAGAAGATGCCCATAGTGAAAGCATTACAAATCAACCACAGAACTTCAAGAATATACAAGAACTTAATTAACAACAATTATAAGTAATCTAAGTTAATGCTGTCATTACTGTAAAAAAAAGTAACTTTGTACGCATATACTCTTTGGTTTGTTAATTGTGTGATGCCATTATGATTTATTATGCTTAATCTGATTGCATAAAAACAGAGTTTGTTTATTTGCAATTTATGTTGTTTCATGTAAGGTAAAATGATATTCTCTATTTTTGTAAGTACACACAATGCAAAGCAACGAGAAGAAACAAAATGACAATTACTGTTCTTAGCTGGTAAGAAAGGAATGTGCATGTAGTACATACACTCAAAAAGAAGTGTGAATCCTCAAACAGTATTTGAGCACATAGAATGATATTACAGTTTTAGATATTGCTGGCTGTGAGGAGAATGCTGCTACTTTACTATATGGTTAAGATTATTGGATGAGTTGGGCAAATAAATGGCAGATGACTTTTAATTATAATAAATGCAAATTGGATATCATAATTTGAATTATAAGTATCATTTTAATGGGAACAATCAAAAAGGATCTTGGTGTTCTAGTTTCTCTGTCTTTTAAGCTACCAAAGTTGCTAGTGACCAAGAAAATAAGACTTTAGATGTATCTAAAGAAATACTGAATATAAAACTAGAGATGTTATAATTTCATTTGGAGTATGTGTTCAGTCATGGGCCCCTTACTTTAGAAAAGATAATTAATTGTTGGAAAGGGTTCAAAAGAGAGCTAAAAGGATGAGACCTGGGATGGAAAGGTTATCACAGATAGCGGGATAATATATCTGAATTTTTTTTCTCTTAAAAAAGAAGTGTCAGAGGAGATATGATGGAGGAGTTTAAGACTGCTAAGGAAACCGATTGTGTTAATGCATCATCATTTTTTTCGTACTTAATGGTGAGAATGGTAGGACTATGGAACACAGGTATAAATTTTGACAACTTTATTTTTCTGGCAGGGTGGTTGGCCTTTAGAATGGCTTTGAGTGTTTTGTTTTCATTTCAAAGTTTCATTTAGTGGACGGGATGGCCTAGATGGACCAATAGGCTCCTTGTCCTTAAATTATGTATGTATAAATGCTAAGAAACAAAGACCGGCAAAGCATGATTTTAATAAATTATACTTATCATAAGACATTACTGGTAAGCCTATTATATCTGACCACACTATGTCCACCATATCCATTGCCATCAAAGTGTTTTGCTCAATACAGAGCTCATCAAGCTGGTGAAACACAAACACAGTAGTAGTTGGAATACAATTTATACAGGCTTATATATAGTGTTTCTACCCAGTTGTGTTTGTTTGAAACCAGCAAGCTAACGAGCTCTGTACTGAGTGAAATACGTTGTTGGCAACAAATATGGAAGACATAGTGGGGCTGAAATACTATTATACAATATTTTTCTTCTTGGAAAACCACTAAGAGGCTAGATAAAGAATGTAGTGTTAAAAAATATAACATGCATAATACTAATGTCTTATGAAAAGTATAAATAAAAGTAAACTTTACCAATTTCCCCATTAGTTAGGTCATCATTCTCTTCATGCTCATTTTCTTGTAGATGATGATGTTGAGGAGTTGTTGTAGCAGCCATCAGAGCTGCAGCAACTTCTTCCTGACGTCTTCGGGCCTCCTCCACTTCTGCCTGCAACTTCCTAGTTTCCTCATCTTTTTCACAAACTTCCTTTTGAATCATTTGTACTTCTTCTTGCTTAGCTTGAATAGCTTCTTCCTATAATAAGAAAACATACTTGAGCTGTATAACAACCACGCTTCCTCCATTTTTTACATTAATTTAATAAGAATTAAATCTAAAATATAATAAACACTTGAAAGAACACAATGTTGACTACCTAATGTATTTCCACAAAATGTTATAAAAATTAACTTAAGAATCTCATATTCATTTGACATGATTCTTTTAGTAATGGCAAAAATTTAAATGCCTAATTATCTATAAAGTTGAAGAGCTTAAACATAACCTAAAATGAAAACTTTAGCAAAACATTAAAAACTATTAAGAAAAAGTACTCAGAGCAAAAAGAACGGTGTTGAAGTTCAGTGAAACAATTCTTCATTTTTAAAGATTACACTGACTGCATAACTGTAATAACAAAAAATATATTATAACCTACTAAGATCAGCTCACTATTTATTGCAATTTTCACTTTTAGAATTTTAAATACAAGCTGTCCATAAATTATCTGATCCATTTTGCAAATAATATTATTGATAGAACACTCCAGTTTTAAGTAACTTGATGAACAACTCATAGTTTTTTCCTACTTTCTGTTGCAGATCCACTGTAAGAGAATTATTAGAAAAAATAAAAAGTGAAAAAAAAAAGTGGCAACACCCTACGAAAAGGCAGTGTGTGTGTGGTTTGGTTTACTGAATCCAAATCAATTGTGTCAGTGCAACAAGATTACTGACACATTTAGGATAAAAGACTCACAACCAAGAATAGCATTAAAGCTTCATTTGAAAAATTCCTAGCAACTGGAAGTGTGTTACAACAAAAGGGAGCTAGACGTCCAAGTCTCTTATGTAACAGTTAACTGTGTGCAAAAGGTGTTTCCTAGAAACCCAAAGAAGTCCATTCATCGTGCTTCCCTTGAACTTAACTTGACAAAATTTTACACAAGCAACTTCGTTTGCATGCCTACAAAGTGCAATTACTGCAGGCTCTTAATCAGATAGATCAGAATAATGAATACGTGGCATACGTTTTGTTTTCAGACGAGGCTACATTCCACGTTTCTGGTAATGTCAATCAGCATAAAGTCTGTATTTGGGAGTCACAAAACCTGCACGTGGTGTACGAGCACAAACATGACAGCCCACGGATTGATGTGTGGTTGTGGCTTGATGCATGATAGAATTATTGGACTAGTATTCATTGCTGAAAAAAACTATGACTGGGACAAATTACCTAGACATGCTCCAGCTGTTTGTTGTCCCTCAACTGAAAAATTTGCCTCATGTTATTTTTCAACAAGATGGTTCTCCACCACGCTGGTGCCTTGACAACCAGAAGTTCCTGAATAGCACATTCCCAGACAGATGGACTGGTAAAGATGGGGGTTGTGAAAGATCAGGTCTATTCTACACCTGTACATGATACCATGGATCTTCGCCACAGAATAATCGATGCAATAAGGAATGAGACTACCAAGATGCTGAACAACAACTGAAGGGAGATAGAGTATCACCTACACATTCTTCGAGCAACAAACTATGCACATGTGGAAGTATACTGAGATGGGAAAAAAACTTTATGAGTTGTTCATCAAGTTAAACGAAACTGGAGTGTTCATGTACAATATATTTGAAGTTATTGCTTTTTAAAATAGGTTATATAATTTATGGACACCAAGAAAACATTGTTTTTTTCCTCAGTATTATACCCGGTAATATTCAACTAAAGTAGCCACATAACTTTAACAATAAATAGATGACAAAAAACTATTACACAACTAGCATTATCAGCAATGAGAAAAGGTTAAAAAAAAAGTATGATTTAAATTCACTCATATAAGAAGTGCTAAAAAAATCCACTTGATGTCTGATGGGTAACCAGAAACATAATTAATTACTTTCATATCATTTCTTTCTGTTTAAATACACTGTGGTGTGGTATTGCAAAACAAGGCCTAATGGCTGGTGTAGTAAGTAAATTAAAAATTTTGTGTACACAGTCATGCAAGCTGTGATTAATGATAGCCAACATTAAAATCAAACAACTTCTTGACTTGCATTTAGCAACAAAACTTTTCTGAAAAATCCACCTAAATCCAGTTGCAGCTTCTATTATATGAAGTGTATGTCATACTGGGTTCATGATTTTGTGTAACAAAAATGTAAGTTTCAACACTTTTGGATGCACGCATAGAAGTGAAAAACATTTTTCTCGAAAAGTGAAATCAATCCAATAATCAGACTGAAGACAATACTAAAATCAAATAAAAGGAAAATAAATAAATTTACATGATATCTCCTTTTACTATTCCATAAAATCCTTGCACTAATCTAAGAATGCACATCTTCACACTGCACTACTTTCCTTCCTTGACCATTTTCTCTTTGTTTTACTATTCATTCATTCTTAAATAACTTTTTTTTTTCAATGAGATTTACCACACTTTTGTTAAAAGTATTTTAGGCATTATTTTACATGCATATATTTTTTCACTGGGCTTATTTCTATCCAGAAACCAAACATAAAAGTATTTTGTTCTTTTTTTACTGATAAAAATTGATCTGACTTTACCATGGTGATGTTTCTGAAGTATCTAAATGTTTTTTAATTCATGCTTAATGTTTTAAAACCATTTCCTTTCTAACACCAAAAAATATGCAGTATTTTCTAACTAATATAGTTTTATAAATTAAAGTTGAGCACAGTCTGCTGAACCCATGCTGTGATTTAACAAAATAAGTCTTTAAATAAAAGATGTGATAAACAATGTCTATGAATACCCTAAAAGATGCAATTAGAACTTATGTTATTTTAAATGTACAAGAGGATGAATACATACAAGTTTTGCTTTTTCTTCTGCTTCCATAGCTTTGCCTTCCTCAAGTTTATGCATCATTTCTTCCAGTTCTTTTTGCTTTAGTTCTAGTTCGTCTTTTGCAGCTTGTAACTGACGTAATTGTTCCTCTAGTCTTCTTATGGTATCTTGGGCTTCAACCAATTCTATAATGTACAATTAAGAATTCAATTTAAATTGTTTTTTACTGTATGCTTTTAAATTCTTTCACTTTACATACATATCACCCCATCATTTGGTATCAAAATTGAATACACCAAAATAAGTTATTTTTTTCAGCCTACTTCAAAATAAATACCAGTTTTGCATCATTTATCCTAACCTGCAGTTCCCTTATTGCAAATTAGTTTCCTTTAAATAAAGCTTACCTATTTCACATCATTTTTTTGTAATTTGTTTTTTTAACAATAAAAATGACAGAGTAACAAAAAAAACTTAACTACAACTGAATGTTGCTGTGCATTCAGTAACAATTATTTTAATATCTGGTAAACAGTGATATTACCTAAAATGAATATTTTATATTACAATAAACAGGGATGGGAACAAGAAAATTTAAAACAGGAAACTGCTACTGGAAAAGAAAAAATCAGGTTGGAGGATTTGGAAGTTCCCTGTCAAATATCAAGACTTTTGTTTCTTCATCTGTGAATTTATTAGTTGAACTGTCACTGACATCTTTAAATGATCCTCAGACTTTGAAAAAATGATATTGCCTAAAGCCACTAATCATCACAAGGAGAGAGACTATGCTTTAACATTCAGTAACAAAATAAAACAGTGCACTGTGAAAATTTTTTGATTTAAAAAATGCTGAGCTGGAGCACAGTCATGCTAAACATACAACTGTAAGACAAAGCTTTTAAATGCTTCATAACTAATTAGAGGCCTGTGTTTTTGTTTTTCTTCCGGTTATGATGATATTTTTTCATGTCAAGTCATTTTGAAAGCTACCCGAAATTTTTTTTATTAAAAACACAATGTAAGATATTTAAGGTTGATGAATATGATAAACTAAACCTTCTTCAACTTCAAATTATTTGGATAAAAAATCTTTATTGTATATATATATATTAAATTTATTGTTACTCAAGCACAACTGAAAATTACAAGAGCTTCTTAATTATTGAAAACAATTATTATTAGATGTAAAATTATCTTACTCAAAAGTATAGTTGGTTTATATGACAAAGATAACAATATTGTCATTTTGAAAACTGAAGTCACCAGTAATGTCTGTCAATCATACTATGACTCCTAGAGAAAGTGGACTATTTTAATCAGAAAAATAAAATTAAAAAGAAACATAAATACTAAATCAAATTACATGTTTTTCTTTTAGACAAAATTCATTATTTATAATTTATACTAAGCTACATGCAATTTGGTTAAGTCTTTCTACTGTGTGAACAAAAAATGACTGACAGGTGCATTCAGAACCTTATTGGTTGTAAAAGGATTAGTCAGTAATATGGTTAAATATTTGTATTAAATTTTGTGACAATTTTCATATACATAATATGCATACTCAATAAAGTTTTTGTATTAGAAGTGTTCATGAAGAAAACATTTTAAAAGTTCATTTCTTTCAATTTAGAACTCTTTTGGATGTCTACACTATTTGATGTTTTTCTACATATTTGCTATTTCCACAAGATATTCAAAGACTAAGAATTCTTGCCCTTTTCCTGTCTCTCTCCAAATGTTTGAATAATCTTTGAGTTATTTTTGGTTAGAAACTTTGGTTTCATATTGATTTTACTTATAATTTTCTTTTCATGTGCTGCAATTTTTCAACTTAATTATTCTTATTGCTAAGCTTTCCTGTTTCTTTTGTATCTTTTTGTTGCAAATATGCACTTATCTTAAGCAAAGTTCTCTTTCTACCTAAACAAATCCTAACATTTCCCAATAAAAGAAGAGGTTATCATAGATGGCAATGTATAATGAAGAATAGAACACTAATGAGTTGGAAAATAGCATCTTAAAAATCTTAGGTTACAGAGCAAAAGATAGTTTAATAAAATATAGAATTCTATGATGATTAGTCAAATAAATGGCAGACTAAACTTTGAAAGGCTGCGATTGTTATCTGATCCTATTGGAATAAGTACTACTCAATAATCACCATGAATTTTATCCATTGTATGTTACTTGTCTGAGAGAAGACCAGCCTAAACTGAGGAACTAAATTTGATAGTTTTTAATAATGAAACGATACTACAGCTTAGAAATATCAATGCATAAAAATGTGTCATCAGGCCAAGCTACTAGTGAGAGTGGGAAGTTAGCAGCAGTCATCCTCTCTCCTGACAGAATTTGCAGCACCTTTAGCTGCTACAGTAATGTCTATGATATAAATCTAAGTGTAACTAACAAAGTATAAGAACCTGGAAACTTGAGTTAAAATAACAATATTAAAATAGCCTTTGAAAGCAGAGGTAATGGTGTTATCTAAAGGAATTTTCTTAAGTGAAAACAATGAACTAAAGTTTCACTTGTATCAAACATTAAGTTTTGTAATTATTATTTCTTTATGGAAATTAAATAAATGTATATTTTGTTACATGGATTCTGATTATCCCCTAGATTCACATATAAATATTCTTGAGCTGATAATCTGTGTGAAATAGTCTACCAATTGCATATTCCTGATATCTTAAATAAATAAAAACTATTTGTAACAGGTTGTTGCCTCAGCAGTACAGTTTAAACAGCAACCTGTTACAACAATATCTTGCACAAATGCAATAGCTCTCCTGTTGGTCACAAAATTTCATGTACTTTTTTCTTCTCTCTTCTATTAACATATCATCAAAGGGCAAAAAGAGTCCTCTTGATCCATCTAGGCTCCTATCCACTAAATCAAACACATACACACAAAAATCAAAGACAGTACCTATCATTCAAATATTTATCAAGCTTTCCCTTAAATGCCCTTAAAATAACTGCACGTACTACATATGAAGGCAACCCATTCCAAAGGTCAACCATCCTGTTAAAAAAATAAAGCTGTCTTAACTGAAGATGACTCCTTCCCTGCCAAAATTTATGCTTGTGTCCCCTAGTCTTACCATTCTTACCATTAAATACAAAAAAAATCATGCATCAACACTATTGGTTCCTTTAACAACTTTAAAGACCTCAATCAGACCCCTCTAACTTCTTTTTTCAAGAGAAAACACGTTCAGAAATCTTAATCTGTCCTCGTGACAACCTTTCCATCCCAGGTACCATCTTAGTAGCCTTTCTCTGAACCCTTTCCAACAACTCAGTGTCCTTTCTAAGTTAAGGAGTCCAAGACTGAACACAATACTCCAAATGTGGCCAACCAATAACCTGTACAATGACATTATAACCTCTTTAGACTTGTATTCAATAATTCATAGATACAATCCAAAATCTTACTTGCTCTGCCACTAGCATCAGTACATTGCTTCGACAGCTTAAGAGAAATTACCAAATCATTTGGTTGATTACTCAGAAAGAGCTTATTTTTATAGTTGCAATTTGCACAGAGTAACTCAACAGAAAATCTTCCAAAAATGTATATTCCCATGGCAACAAGAAAGAGGGCATAAACTATAACAATATATTTGCATGTAACTTGTTCAACATTAAGATAACTTCTATAATATCACAATAACAGTATACTCAGTTTTAAGCAAATTACTCATATTTCTATGAAAAAATACCTTTTTTCATCTTCATATGTTAATACAAAAAATTAGCCACCATGTTAGCTCTAAACAGGGATGTTCAAAGATTTACTTTACTCATTAAAACTACCCAAATCACCTATCTATATACATACATACATACACACGCACACAAAGCTAAATCTAAAGCTTATATTTTAATTGCTTTATCCTTTAACCCTTTCCTCACTGGAAGAAGGGATGTAACTTGGTATCCTTATTCATTCCTTCTCCCAATGGAAAAGACTTAAGTAAAAAATAGAAACACTTATTAAGTATTACTAGTTCTGTTTTTAAAAATTATATAATTTATTATTTCTATCATTTTTTAGATTGTGAAATTTCCAAACTTTTGTTGTGAGACACTGTTTTGGAGAAACAATGAAAGTTTTTATCTTAGCATTTAGTTTTTTACGATTGATCTGAAAGTTCTAATTTATATATATCCATTCAATTTCAAATTGATCAATATTCATTAACATACATCTTATAATAATTTACTTTGCTGAATAGTTACCACTTCCAATGAAAATTTTTAAAAACAACAATATTTTTGCAAACAACACTTTTGGTCAAGATCACTTTATATTTCAAAAATATAATTTAATTACGATAAATAATAGGTTCTTTTATTTGTGTTATTTGAATGTGCTAAGTTTGGATTTGAGTCAACCAACCATACTTGCTAAACCTAACTAAGATTGTCTGATGTCTTGTCAGAGAAGAACATTTCTATAGTTTTAAAAAAAATATAATTTATCACAACACCATTTTCAAGAATGAAAAGAACAGCTAAAGCAACTATAAACAAATTTAAAGATTTGTGGTTCATTCTAAAGTTTCATAAACTTCCCATTAAATGTCTTTGGTCACACCTTCAGGAGTACCATTTAGTCATTTTCTCAAGAAACCATAAGTTATTGTTCACAACACTTTGTTTACTTTACACTGATGTAAATAGTTTATAATCTGTTGCATACAAGAATATTTAAACTTGAAACCACATGCTGTAGAAAAATAAAACGGTGGGGATGAACCTTATAGTAATAAAATGACTATTACAGGAAGAAAATCATGAAAAAAAGATGTAGATAATTATGTTCTCAAGGGATAATAGTTTATTAGCAAACAAACTTGTACTTTGAAGAGAGAAATTCTATAAAAAAAATCAATAAGTGCATTGTTTACAGCCAAGACTCCTCAAAGTTCCACAAAAATGAAAGATGAAACATCTTTAAGGTTTTTTTGTGACTCACACAAAATACAGGTTATCAATTCTAAAATATTTCTGAGTTAAAAAGTGTTGAAATAGAATTAGATATATTATTTTTATTAGCTTGAAGGACAAATTAACTGTGCAATGTGTAAATATGTATGTAAAATCACAAAGGAATGTCAATTTTAAATACATATTTACACATTAGACAGTTAAATTGTTCATTCAAGCTACTGAAAGATGCTGTTAATTCATCATGAAATCCAATTAATAGATAATTCCACATTACAAAGTTAAACTTTATCATAAAACTAAAAATCATGCACTGTTTAAGCTATCACTTTAATATTCTTTCCACTGCTATACAGTCTTAACTAACAAGGTGTAAGGCAAAGCATAATAATTTTTCTTTTCAACAACACCCATTCCACACACCTTCCTCACTGGTAATTACCCAGTACAGCAAAAAAGATGACAGGCATCATGTATATATTTTGTTCCAAACAGTTAAATGAAGTCTCTTTATATACTCCCAGGCCCTTAACCCAACAGTGTTAAATTCTAAAATTTAAAGAATGTGTGCAAACCCTGCTCATGTGAAATGAAATGAACCAGAAACATCAATCATCAGACCTGATATGGTAATACCAATATATTATTACATTGATGGGTAAATGTTTTTAAGATGATGTAAACCTATTCAATCTATCTACTACTCATTTATGTAAAGAAAGTATACTTTTCATATATTTTGCTTCATTTTCCATGCCCTTGGTGACAAACTGTAATTTCACTGTTACACAGAACCACCTCCTTCCCTAAAATTTTCTCCTCTGATTTACACTCATTTCAAAAATTGCTCTAGCATCAACAAGAAAGGTGGAAATCCAAAGAGCATTCTCATTCATGAATAAAAGAGTTGCATCACTTTTAATAGCTTTGACTGAAAACTTAAAAATTCCACTTTTTTCTACACTTATGTGAACTAATATCAAAATTAAACTTCACAGAATCAATAACATAAGCATAGAACAGTGTGTAAATAAATTATAAATACACAGAAACACACACCCAATTGCCTTCTTTCCATGTCTTCTTGCATATGTTTCAATTGCTCTGCATACTCTTGTTGTTTCCTTTCAGCCATCTCTCTGGCTTCTATCTCCTTCAGTAACTTTTCTCTGTGTATAAAAACAAACATATGTTACCACTACCTCTATTCTATATTACAGATTTTAACATGGGATATTTAATAATAACTGTATCTAAAGCTTAAAAGGCTGTATATCTTGTACCTTAAGTTATATCACATCACTGGGCTTAAGCTATACTTTATAATGTAGTTGTCAGAGTTGCTATTGCAAAACGTTTTTAATTAAAGCAACTTTCTGGAAGTCACTACCAGTTTTCAAAATAAGTTGTTTCACTGTTTTATTACCAAAACCATACAAGTTTAGGAAGGTATATTTATCTTTTTAGATTAAAATCTAAATCTTACCATAATGGACATAGCATGTATGTAACGAAAATTACAGAAAAAATCTTTAAACATAAACATATTGATAATATTGATGCAGAAATGAAATGTTAATTGTTTGCTTTTCTGTATTTTTATGGTGTGTTTTAAACTTGTAAGAAGAGGATCCATAGAAAACATATTCAAGATGGGAAGGCCAAAAAAGTATAAAGATGATGTTGAAAAGATATTGCCAGAAGTGGTGACTGAGGCTTATGAAATGTGGTGCCATTTATTGAATGGAACACAAACAAAAATCCATAAAACAAATTTCACAATTTGGGTACACAAAATTCAGACAATTTGAAAACTAACTATAGTATATGCAATAACCATTTCTTTATAACAGAACACAAATTTAAATAAAAGTACTCTCCCACACAACAAGAACACGACTATTACTAGGCCTGTTCATGAGGGTTTCACTGTATCTTTATTGATGTAATTTTTAAATGTAGTATTCAAACACTGGAGTTGTTCAATAAAATATAGCACTCTTAATGTATAAAAATATTACAGTTTATATCAGTAAATTTTATAAAAATTCTGAGCTCTGAGCTACATTGAATCATTTTGATGCAATAAGTTGTGTATGACTAAAGAGCACAATCCAAACACTAGGGGTGCATACCTCTTCATAGTAGTCGATATGATACGTATCTAGAGAGTGATGCCACGATACGATAGGTACCTAGATACAGAAGTTTTACCAATGGTTTGTTACAAAGTTTGACAGTCTTTTCTGCGACTTATTATCTATATTACTAACATTTTCTTATTTAAGTACTTCACACTTTACAGTGCTTTTTCAAATTCTCAGGTTTGATCAAATGCAGCTGGCAAGAGAGGTAAAATTTAAAAAAAAGTTAATATTTGTCTGTCTATTTTGTTATTGTTAATTTGTCATGTTACTTTGCATGTAATGTTGACAACTTGTACAACTCAATACTCATCTTCCTTTACTGAATCTTTAATTTATAGAAAACATATTTTATTAGAATTTCTGATTTTTTCAGCACAAAAGACTTGTAATGTTTACTGAAACCTTGCCAAATTTTGTGAAGATACATAATATGTATCATATCAGATGATGTATCAATACAATCGTATCAGGGCTTCATGATATGATATTCGTATCGTATTGCTGTATCGCCACACCTTTACTGAACATTTTTCCCCATGCAGTACTTCCCAGAAAAAAAAACTTTTTAGAAAATTTTCACTTTTATTTACACTTTTTTAGAATTAGGTATGAATACTGTGTTTAGTAATTACTAGCACAAACAGCTGCCCATAGGGCAGCATTTTTGCTGGTGTTTAAAATGCACAAAATAAATTCCAATAGCTATGCTTGTTCACTATGCATTAACTTTTAAACTTCAAATTGAAATATCTTCATCATATTGTGCTCTGATGGCAGCATTTAGTATATAGGATTATGACAAAAAACCTAAAAATTGGGATAGTTATGGGCATTGTCTGCTTTTTGCATGTTATTATTCTATGTTCTTTGGTAGATTATTTAATTAAATAAAAATTATTTAGTGCACTACCACCATTAGTATAAGAAAAGAAGGCTTAAGTGTTATCAACAGTTGACAGCAAAAAAAAAAGGGCCCAGGTAAGTACTTTATTTCTTGGTTTTCATTTGTATTTTTTACTTATTATTATAAAAGTAACTAAAATGTAAAAATAGGAAACTCTTTAGATTAGTTAGGGTCAGATTAGGTAAAATAAATAATAATAATATAATAAAAATTATTAGTTAGACATGATTCAAAGGGTAATAAAACAATACAATTTAGGTATAAATAGATGTATACTGTTATGAGTTTAAAGCTACTTAGGATAAATAAATGTAGTTTCATGTTACAATCTGAAGTCATTCTAGAGATAATTGAGTATCTACATGTTAGTCATTTAATGTTCATCTATTATTGATTGGTAAATTCTGTTTCACCCTGTACATAAGCTTTTTAAAGGAACATCAGATATCTGCAAGAAAGCTAACTTGAAAGGAAAATGATAACATTGTTTACACTAGAATTATGATTTTCTTTAGCTTATGTAAAATATAGAAAAAAATAAATCAACTTTTCAATCCCCTACAACCTTCACAGTACCGTATTTAGTATCCTACAAAAGGTTTGGATACAATATACTAAGCTGTTTTTGTTGTAGGCTGGATAGAGAATAAAATGAAAAAGAAGAATTACAAATGGGCCATTTTGAGTGGATTTTCTTTTCCTTGTAAGTCTAACATGCATGCTTTTTTGTGCATTTTGATATGTATACAGCCTTAGAAGTCAGTAGTAAAGGTTTTAAAGTGTTATTTTGAAATGAATCTTTACTGTTTAAGGTACTTTTTGCCCAAACGTTCTATTATGGTTTTGTACAATACCTTGCAATCACTATTATGAACCACTATCATGGTTCATGACAAGAATAAATCAAACTATAAAGTTTAAACTGATTATAAATGATCTATTATAAATGAATTAAGTTTTCTCTAATTATTTTCATATATATATTAAGAACATTTAACTATACAAAACATTTACCTTTCTTGTTGTTTTGCTAGTCTTTCCTCACGTGCTTGAGCCTTCATTTGTTGAACCTCAATGGTATCTGGCTTGCGTCGACGCATGTATAGTTCGTGGTTCCCCATACAGAGAGCAAGAATTCTTTTGTTAATTCTCAGTCGTGGGGTAAAAAATACGAAATCCTTTTGAAAACAAAAAACATTTCATCCACATAGAACAAAATGACCTTACTCTTTAAAGAAAATAAGATTTCTTAACACTACTTCAAACTAACTACAAAACTTCAAATTTTCAAAACAATAAAAATGGCAGTTTGGCTTTACTAAATCACTCCTACCTGTTTCTAGAATAGGGTTATATCTCAGCTTATTTACTGAGGCCTTCTTAAATCAAAGCCAGGAAGAAGACCTTAGTATAGAAGCCAAGGCATCACCCCACTCATCTAGAAATGGTAAGAAGCAGTCCATTAAATTCACTGTATTGTGTCTAGACTGCTTAAAATACCATTGAAACAATAAAAAAAAAAAAGTTTCACACAACAAACAATTCAACTAGGTACAATTTACTTTCAAGAACTTCAATTTATTTGTATTTGGAATAATAGTTTTTAAATTTCTTCAATGCTTAAATTCAACTTGTGCAGTAATAAAACAAGTGATGGAAAATTTTAAGCTCTTTCAATTGAATATACCAGTAACTTTAACAATATTTAGCTACAATGTTAGAGCTGAGATGCTCTTTTTAATTTTCAAAAAGTTAATAATACAAACTGTAAATAATGGTCTTATTCTTTTTAATAACATATATAATAGTAGTATTTAGTAAGTAGGTTGAATAATAGGAGTGTTGAGGAAAGGATGCTTTTACAGTAACTGTCTGTGACATGTGGGTGATAAATTCAAAAATAAACAAACAGCAAGCAATCCAGTTGTTTTCAAAATAATATATATATATATATATATATATTCAAACTAGTTAAACATATGTAAAAAAAAATTAGTTACACTATAGAAATGATAGGCATACCATGAACACTATATATAGTTTTCTTCTTGTCAAATGTCCACTTAGCCTATTTAATTGCTTTAGAATTTCAGTTGATTAGCTGAATTACCACAGTTGTATACTGCTCTTCCAGTAATTGTCTGGTCCTATTGCTTCAGATATCGTCTGTTCCTTTTTTCAAAGTGCACTCAGGCTGGTTCAATTACTTTAGAACTCTCTTTGACGGAATAAACTCTTCTTCTTATCTCTTTTAAAACTGTTAGTTTTCCTCTAACATATTAATCGTTATGCCAGTATTAATCATTAGGCCTTTCACTCCTATGGCAGTTAACTTTACGTTTAACTTTTCTTTGGCCGAACATCTACTTCCTGTGACTTTATTTTCTCATCTGTTATATCTGTCTGTCTACTGTTCCCGCTCATCTCACACTATCTACATACTTATCACTTAATCGTCTGCTCACCTTCCAGAAATCTCTAAATCTTCGACATCAATAAATTTCACACAACGTTCGATAGCCTCAACATCATTGAATTCTAAACACAATGTACGATTCTTACTGAGTTATGTAACTAAACTTGTCATAACGTTTACTTCAAAATAATTGCTTTTAATTCTCTTGTTATGAAAAACTAAACAATCATGAAATATTCATTCACAAAATAAATAAATTAATAATACCTATATAAAACAGTCTTTTATATCATGACATAAGCCCCCTCTTCAAGAGAAATATTTACAATATTCTTTTTACTATATACAAAGACTGTTCTTGGTTCACTCACACAGTCTGCTCCAACATTTATAGTCCCTTTGAAACCTTCAATGCGGAACCTGTAGCTCTGACTGAAGGTACAATGCCCACCTCATGATCCTCACACTTTCAATCTTGTACCTCTGATTGTATGCAAGTGGTTGATGGTCTGTCTGGATGATGAACTATTTCCCATACAGATATCTCTGGAACCTCATAATATTTGCCATTTGGGAGTAGTTCTTCTCACTATTTAACAGCTTTTTACTTATATAGGTTACCAGAAATAGTCCGTGTTCATATTCTTGTAAGAGTACTGCTCCAATTCCAATGTCTGAAGCATCAACCTGGACAATGAATAGTTTGTTGAAGTCTGGCATACTAAGAATCAGCAAACTTACCAACATGTTCTTTAATTTCTGGAATGCTACCTGGTGTGGTTGCTCCCATTTCTTTTATATGGATTATCTTTTCCTTTTCCATGGCTATCCGTCAGTCCTCTATTTTATGTCCAACAAACTTCAGCACAAGATATCCGATGTAGCACTTTGATGGTCTGATAGTGAGGGCCTACTGCCCTCACTTGCCGAAACAGCTCTCTACATCTCTTCAGGTGGTCTTAACATCTTGCAATGTATATCAGAATGTCATCCACATTGTACTTGATGTTGGTGTTGTGAAGCATCCTCCTTATCATTCGGTTGAACATTGCTGCTGAGTTGAATAACACAATTGGCATCTGCTTAAATTGGTAACATCTATCTGGTGACACAAATGCTGTCTTCTCTTTAGATCCCGTCTCCATTGGAATTTGCGAATAACATTCAATGAGATTGATCTTTGAAAAGAACCTGGCCCCATCTAGTTTTAACATGATGGCCTCTGGGTTGCTAATAGGTTCGGAATGAAACTTCATCACGAGGTTCAGCTTCCAAAAGTCTATGCAGAAATGGATTGATCTATCCCTCTTCTTCACAATTACTGAACAGTAGGCTGAATTTAAAGGCTCGATGATTCCAGCTTCAAACATTGCCTCAACTTCCAGCTTTATCAGGTGTCTCATTGCATAAGGCATCTGATAAGGCTTCACTTTGACTGGATCCCTGGTTGTGGTCTTGATTTGGTGTTACAGAAGGTCTGTCTTTCCTGGTTTATCCATGAGGATATCTGCATACTGGCACAGTAGGTCTTGTAAAGCTTTTTTCTGCTTGCCAGTCAGTTCTTTGCTGATGTTGACATCTTTGTATGTCTCATCTCCACCTAGTGGTCTTAGGTCTAGTAGGTCTTCATCTTCTTAGACAAAGTCACTGTCTTCTGGTTCTGCATCTATGATAACCACACCTGTAACATCCATCTCTGTTTCAACAGCTGCACCCATTAGGTATTCTTTTCTCCCAAAATACTTCAACAGAATAGCATGGTAGATCTTGGTCTTCCCATTTACATTCACCTTGTAGTCCATTCTTTGAGTACTTCCTGTACTTCGTTTCAAGTTCAGACAGAAGGTCTTAGTTCTGCTGTCCACAGACCACAACAAACTCACCCTGCTCGATCCTTGGCCTTCTTTTCATAGAAATGTTTCTGAATGCCATGAGCTGCATACATGCTCTGTCAAGCAAGCTGACAGGTCTACTCCAGTCGGTTTCTGAGGTCTAACACGACCTACAGAATCTACTCACATCTCCGATGACTCACAGCAATGGAAGTTACTGGTGATCCTGTCTGCCATTTTCTTTGTTCCTAGTTGTCATCTATCAATTGACTCAGGAGCCAACTTCATCACTTGAGTCCAGTATTCTGTTGGTACTATGATCTGTTTAACTTTGCTTTCTATGCTTTCTTCAGTTCCTGCAAACCTACATTTGGGATGTCACCTTTTGACACTTGCAGGGGCTTGATGTCTTGTTTAATCTTCTTTTCTTTTTTGTCTCACACTATTAATATATTTATCACTTAATCGTCTGCTTACCTTCTAGAAATCCCTATATCCTCAACATCAATAAATTTCATGTGACGTTCGATAGTCTCAACATCAATGAATTATAAACACAATGTATGATTCTTACCAAGTTACGTAACTAAACTTGTCATAACGTTTACTTTAAAATTAAAAATGGTTTTCATTCTCTAACGAAAAAACTAAACAATCACGAAATATTCACTCGTAAAATAAATTAATTAATAATACTTACACTAAACAGTATTTTATATCATGACAAAATTTATGATAATATAAATGCAGTTATTTTGTAAAATGCATTGATTTTTGATTTAATTCTAAAATTATATACATTTTGTTTTATAAGATAATGGTTTTAGAACATGGTGTACTTTCATAAGATACTTCAGACTAAAATTCAATAGTAATCAATAAGAAATTCTATCTCAGTTTTGTTTATTTACTTCAAAATTTAATTTTGATTGGCATATCTACTTCATAATTTATCATAAAACCTTTGTTTTAAACAAAATTTTCTTCCTTTTTTTAATTCCATATAACATATTTTGTCTTGTACTCAGAAAATGTAAGTCTTGAAATAAAATTATATGACTGTATAAATAGAATAAAATAAATTCTTGTAGCAAATCTCTTTCAAATATTGTGTCTACAAAAAAAAAACAATTAAACTTACTGGAGCTTTCTTGTCAATAGGTTTAATGACGAATTTTCGATCATTAAAAGAAATGTTTCGTATTTCACTCCATGGAAATCCAATTTTAGGAGTAAGCCTAAAAACAAAAAAATAATAATAATATCAAAATTTTATTTTATATATCAAGAGATCTAAGAGATCAGTACAGTTTTTTTCAAATCAAATTTATAGTGGGTTCAGAAATCCTTATGAAGTGCACATGTATTCAAAATAAGCTCAAGAATGAGACATATTTGACCTGAAAAATTCAACATTACAAGTTTATAATAGTTTTAGAATGATAACCAAACAAAAAATACATGTAACCAAAATCAGCACAGAAGATTATCTGGGTATCGGTTTAGTCTAGGGCTTCAAAAACAAAGTGCCCACATCTATAATATAAAACAGACTTACTTCATGAATTCAATAACATTACAATTACAATTCTACTAAATTCCAGATACTGTATTAATATAAATTTCAGAGTATAAATGTTTCAGTAACATGAACACCTTTTCAATTAAGATATTTATTTCTTAAACCCATGCAATTTTATCCTAGCACTGAAAACAATTTTCTGTATATATCTTGACGAAACTGTAGAAAATAAGTTCCCTGATTGATTTCATACAAGTATAGCTTTTTATATCGTTTAACACAAGTGCATGTGAAAAAAAAAGTCCTTTACTTTTCTTCTTTGATTTTAATAATAAGTGTGTGAGACTTTGTTCTAAGTTAATATTTTATAACATTACTAAGGTATTAAAACTCAAAAGAACTACATATATTAACTTAGCTCTTTGAAACATTGCCATGACACATATATATCATTAAAACATAATGCAGGAGGATCCCTTGAATCACCATAATGATGGCCATCAAAGAATTACTGTGCTGCACACCATTAATCTTTTGCCAAAAGCTCTTAATATAGTATTTGAGGATGAAAGGAACAAAATTAAATAAAAACAATTTAGTAGTCATATTTTCTTTCAAACAATGAAATATACTTCTAAAGATCTTGAGAATTTCATTTGCTACTGTGAAGGTACTGCCAACAAAGCTAAACAAATCATACTTGTCATCCTTTTCATAGATGTTTAAGCCAAGAGCATCAACACCCAGCCACAAGTCACTTCCTTTCTTGTTCTTGATCTCAAAGTAATTCACACCATACATTTCCAGATCTTGAGCTATCTTAAGGTACTCCATCATAGCATCTTCCCTTGAATAAGGAGAAAAAAATAAGCTGCAAGTAACAACTAATAACACAAGCCTGCGAGTTTTATTGTCTTGAAATTTTTACGTTCTACAATAAATCTTGTATGCTGAATTGAAAAATGATATCCATTTTTCTCCATTACGTACAGGTTTTCCACAAAACCTCATAACATAATACATAAAAGAAAGACCACAACACGTACTTTTGAGATTAAAAGATGTAGATTTCACACAAAAAAATCACGATAAAAAGAGGACACATATTCGTCTGACATCAATGTTCTTCCCTTTTCTTCAGTTTATTTGTATTTTTGTTAATAAAAAAATGTTCTTTGTGGTAAAGGAAATAGTAATTTGATCTAAGTAAGGTTTTTTCTTCCCAATTTGTAAAAAAATCCTGACGACACAAAAAAATTAATATTATTTTTGAAATATGTATAGCTGTATTATATAAAATCTATTATTAAAACCAAAACAGCTTTTATGAAGTTTAAATTTGCAGGCATGTGTAATTTGTCTTCGACAAGTGAATTTATTTGGCCCACTTTTCAAATTTATTATATATACATAAAGTCAAAGTATGCTGAACTGTTTGATGTCACATGGATCTTTGTGATTTGGCAAACTTTTATAAATTAAACATTAAATAACTGTTGTACACAAAAAAATCAGTTTTAATATAGTATTTCTACAAAAGATTTGCCTGACCATTCTCAAAGCCTTTACTGAATCAGTCTGAGTGAAAGGTGATTTTCATGCTAATAATAAAAATACTTTTCTTCTTACAGTTTACATATTTTATTTGCATAACTTCTTGAACTTCCTAAATAAATATCATATTTTTGGGGGAGTCAAATTTTATATTTTCTCTCTCTCAATTTCTCTACCCTAACATGAACAGTGTACTCAGTTCTTGTGTATATAGAGAAATCACAAAAGTGCAGTTTAAAAATATGAAATGAGTAATACTATTCATTCATCTAAACCAACTTGAGTATTGTTCAGTAAGTTTCAAATTAAGCATCTGAATACTTTCATCTCTAAGTTAACCTTTACATGTCTATTTTCTTTTACAGTTTAATTGCAGTTTTTTTTGTTTTTTTTTACTGAAGAAGTAAAACTTGCCTCCAAAAAGCAAAAAATCACAGCAGGAGCCATTAGCATTTTCTAACACTTGTAATATAAACAAGCTTTTGAAATTTAACATGTGCTTTAGTTAGCTGAGCACGAGTAATTTTAGATGTTTTGTTTTACTGAAGATATGTTAGCCTAACTGAGAAGTTTATAATTATTACATTTTAGTTACTTACTCTTCTATGCTACTAAATAAGATATGTACATAAAAAAAAATATCTGTAGTACTCACTGTGTACCCGAGACCCTTAGCAATCCATGCTATCCTTCCCAAAGTCTTGTTGAGTGTCCAAAAACGAATTCATGTACTTTCAAATATGCACTTTAGAATACAAAATATTATATCAGTCATCAGAACAAAATGTCCCAAAACTACTAAAATACTTCTGGCTATAAGTAGGTAAAACACATGATCATCACAAACCAAGCAATTCCTCTCAAACAGTGATTTTTGCTGCCAAAACTGAACAAAGCTTTATACAATTTATGCAGAGGAAAATCTGTTCTTTCTATGGGTTATAAGCATCTCCATCAGCCATGTAAAGCTAACTAGCAAACAATCTCCAAAGGGAGGGGAAATATTTTGAAATAATAAAAAAAAAATGTAGCCTTATCTCCCACAATCCATCCCAGCTCAAAAACCACTGCACTTTCTTCATACTAAAATTTGATCACTTTTAAAATCATATAATCTCAATATAACACAAATTTTAAAGCATAAACCAAAAAGGTAAAATATAAAAACAGCTCCAGTAAAATTCAAAACATATACACAACTCTAGTAATGTTAGCTTACCAAAACACACACACACACACACACACACATCATCACATACAGAAACAGTGCAAGCATTGTTGCACTTTAATAATCGTCATACATACATAACCACATGCCACATACAGTCATAATTGTTTTTACTACTTTCAATTTGACAAAGAAATAATTTTAAAACCCTGGTGTAAATTTCAGCTCAAATATTACAATGAAAAAAATTTGGTGCAAAAGGTGGCACACCTTATAGAAAAATGTAAAACTGTCATTTGAATAGACACGTATAAAAGCTCTTTTAGCACACAAGTGAGAAAAAAACTTAAAACTGTCATTTGGATGGATATTTATAAAAGCTTAATTAATACAAATAAGTATTATTTCCCTTCTAAGTCACTTAGTATGTAATATGTTTAGTTAGTTAAGATCACTGTGATAAAGCACAATGATTTTAAACAAATATCAGATGCTGTCTAAACTATGTTTGTTTTGGATATCTGCACGAAGCTGTAGAAAGGCTTTATCCACTAGCCATCCCTAATTTTTAAATCACAGACAAGGAAGACAGATAGTCAACAGTACCCACTGCAAAATCTTCAGTTACTCTAAACACATACTGGAATTTAACCATCACTATTATGACAAACCCACAGCCCTAAAGCACAGAGTATGACTTTCTGACAATAGAAAGTTAACCATGGACCTCACTAGGTCATACCTGGCCCTGTCTGGATTAAAATAATTCCTTTTTAACCCTATCACCCTGAGTACCCTTTACTGCACATGACCCAAGGTTTTAGTGTCTTACATTCAAAATTTTATTAAACCACTTTTTATTTATGTTATATCAATTAGTATATCATAAAATCTTAGCTAATAATCCATATTTTAGTAGTATACAAATTCTTATTTCTACAAGGCAATATTTTAAACAATCCTGAATTTCCACTAGAGTGATCCACGTGATAAATTTTTCCTTAGCATGTCATCATCCCTATTTTATCCACCACCCCTTGAAAAAGTACAAAATTAAGTGTAAATTACACTCTATAAGATCATTATTGCTCAGACAAACCATTATTTTTATACTCTTCAATTTTGTTTGGTTACAGAGCTATCAAATAGAAAAATCAGACCCCTCCTGCCACACCCACCTGTAACATGTTCTCTTTCACAATTTGTTTATAGTTCTCTCTCACGTTTCAATACATATTACCTATAACCAATAGAAAGTCACGGTTTTCATCTATCAAATGATGTATTGTATAACATTGTATCCTGAACAGAATATTGTCAACTTCACTCACACAACAAGATTTGTTCCCGTGAGTAAGTTGATGACTAGTTTGGATGAATTTGTAACAGCTCTTGTTGCATAGTTAGAAAGCCAGAAGTTTTCAGAGGTAAGGCAATTTGTCTACTAAAAATTAAGTGCATTACTATCTATAGTATAAAAAATCAGGGTTAACTCTCTTCAAAACCCGAGAGCAAGAAAAAGAAGACTGGGTAAGTACTTTATTTCCTGTTTTTCATATCTATTTTTCATTTATTATTATAAAAGTAACTAAAATCTAAAAATACAGATCTTTTTTAAGTTATTTAAGACTAGAATAGGTAAAATAAGTAATATTAATAACATAATTAAAATAGTTCATGAGGCATACACGTAAGCAGCTCGTGGGTAATGTGATTTGATAGTGTAATGTGAACTGCACATTCCCCGTGTGTGATTTACAACTTATAATGGTGCAGATAATAGATAGACATGGTTCAAAGGGTAATAAAACAATAAAATTTAATTATAAATAGATGTATAATTTTACGAACTTAGAGCTAATTAGGATAAACAAATGTAGTTTCATGTTACAATCTGAAGTCATTATAGAAAGTAAAAAAAATTAATTTAGGTATATTTCGATTTTTTTTACGGTTACA